AGTGCGTGGGCGAGAGATTTCAAACGTCGTGATGCGTAAGCGTTGTGTGAGGTGCACGAGCATGTCAGATTCAGAATTTGTACAATACAAAAGCAGGGGTTTCAAAAAAATGTATCTACCCACATAACTGCATGCTTACATAGGCCATCCATCAATCAGCGTATAGACCAACTTACCCTTATGCCTGCCTCCCTACCTGTCTGTCTACCTAGCTTACTGATTTACCTATGGATATGCATTCTTTATTAAACACAGCAACATGCACCCCGTGGACTTCGCCTTACCAGGTGGCGAACATTTGATCGATGTTACCAATGAAACGATGTTGATGGTGTTGATGATGTTGGTGGTGGTGGTGATGATGACGTTGTCGATTGTGTTGATGATGTTGGTGGTGGAGGTGGTGATGATGATGACGATTTTGGTGGTGATGATGACGATGTTGATGGTGTTGATGATGTTGGTGGTGGAGGTGGTGATGATGACGATATTGATGGTGTTGATGATGATGTTGGTGGTGATGATGGTGTTGGTGGTGGTGATGATGACGATGTTAATGGTGTTGATGATGTTGGTGGTGGAGGTGGTGATGATGACGATGTTGATGGTGCTGATGATGATGTTGGTGGTGATGATGATGTTGGTGGTGATGATGATGTTGGTGGTGATGATGACGATGTTGGTGGTGATGATGTTGATGGTGTTGATGATGATCATGTTGGTAGTGGTGATGATGACGATGGTAATGTTGTTGATGATGGTGGTGTTGATGATGACGATTATGAAAATAAGATTGTAAAAGACGCAGGTCATGATAATAATGATGGTATATGGTGATGAAAATAATGTTGGTGGTGGTGAACGTGGATGTGATCATTATTATGCTGATGGTGGTGGCAATTATAACAATGATGCCGCTAGCCGTAATTAACGTATCATAATGGAGATAACGATAGGTGGTGGTGCTAATGCTGATGAAAACACTCGTGACGATACTGATGAGGATGACTCTAGTGGTGGTAATGATTCTGATGGTGGTAATGATGCTGATGTGGGATGATGTGGACGAAGAAAATGGTGCTGCTGATGTTAGCAACGATGACGATGATTGTGTTGACGGTGATTATGGTTGTTAGTCAACCCTGGCCGCGATTTCAACTCATGACCAAATCATCCACGGTTTCAATTTTATCAAATTTGAAAATGTCTCAAATCCAAATTATACACACGTAGCAATTATAGCTTCTACTGGCATACTCATGCCCCCCAAGTCACTGTTGAAAATTAAACTCAAATCTGGCTTCTTGAGTTCTCACCACCTGGTTCAACAAATCAAGGTGAAGCTGATTCTAAATTTGAAGCTTTCGTGACTGCAATGATTCATACTCTTAGGTTTTTTCGGTAAAGTCACGTAGGTAAAAATAAAAATAAATAATAAAAATTATAGAACTAATAATACAAATAAAATACAATCATATAATTAGTTTATTTCTATTATTATTTTTATTATTTATTTTTACCTACGTGACTTTACCGAAAAAAACCTAAGAGTGTGAATGAAGCTCATTTTTATATCAGAAGTTACCAAGCACAAACAACTTGATGCAGCAAATCTGGCTGTGACGGTCCCACCTGATGACGGAGACTTGTGTTGCCTCCGAAACGTCGTAATTTGTATTTAATTTTTTTAAATTTTAATTTCATGTTTTACCTACGTGACTTTACCGAAAGAACTAAGAGTATGAATCCTTGCAGTCACGAAAGCTTCAAATCTAGAAACACAAAAAGTTGCCATAGAATAGAATAATTTATTTCTATTAGTTCTTTTATTTTATTATTATTATTTATTTTTTACCTACGTGACTTTACCGAAAAAACCTAAGAGTAGAATATAAAAGCGTTGTATTCTCCTTATTTGTTCCAGCAAACCAGGCTCATCGCCTTCACCCTACCCGCACTGACTCGCGCGGTGAAGGTATAATCAACTAAACCCCACAACTTGCACGGCGTTGGGAGCCCTCATCCAGATGTGGATGGACACGAATGTCTGTGTGTGTGTGTGTGTCCACAGGCACGAACACGCGCATTAGGTGGTGAGAGGATGATGATGATGATGGTGGTGATGATGATAGTGTGATCGTGAATATAATGATAATGCTATAATAGTACAATTGAGGCATGATGCTGATGTGTGTGTAATATTGAGATTATGAATGTGATGATGAGTATAACTACAGTCTGAGGATGATGGTGTGTGTGTGTAATATTGAGATTATGAATGTGATGATGAGTATAACTACAGTCTGAGGATGATGATGATGTGTGTGTGTAATATTGAGATTATGAATGTGATGATGAGTATAAGCACAATATGAGGATGATGACGATGTGTGTGTAATATTGAGATTATGAATGTGATGGTGAGTATAACTACAGTCTGAGGATGATGGTGATGTGTGTGTAATATTGAGATTATGAATGCGATGATGAGTATAACTACAGTCTGAGGATGATGGTGTGTGTGTAATATTGAGATTATGAATGTGATGATGAGTATAACTACAGTCTGAGGATGATGATGATGTGTGTGTGTAATATTGAGATTATGAATGTGATGATGAGTATAACTACAGTATGAGGATGATGATGATGTGTGTGTAATATTGAGATTATGAATGTGATGATGAGTATAACTACAGTCTGAGGATGATGGTGTGTGTGTAATATTGAGATTATGAATGTGATGATGAGTATAACTACAGTCTGAGGATGATGATGATGTGTGTGTGTAATATTGAGATTATGAATGTGATGATGAGTATAAGCACAATATGAGGATGATGACGATGTGTGTGTAATATTGAGATTATGAATGTGATGGTGAGTATAACTACAGTCTGAGGATGATGGTGATGTGTGTGTAATATTGAGATTATGAATGCGATGATGAGTATAACTACAGTCTGAGGATGATGATGTGTGTGTGTAATATTGAGATTATGAATGTGATGATGAGTATAACTACAGTCTGAGGATGATGGTGATGTGTGTGTGTGATATTGAGATTATGAATGTGATGATGAGTTTAACCACAATATGATGATGATGTGTGTGTGTAATATTGAGATTATGAATGTGATGATGAGTATAACTACAGTATGAGGATGATGGTGTGTGTGTAATATTGAGCTTATGAATGTGATGATGAGTATAACTACAGTATGAGGATGATGGTGATGTGTGTGTGTAATATTGAGATTATGAATGTGATGATGAGTATAACTACAGTCTGAGGATGATGGTGATGTGTGTGTGTAATATTGAGATTATGAATGTGATGATGAGTATAACTACAGTCTGAGGATGATGTGTGTGTGTAATATTGAGATTATGAATGTGATGATGAGTATAACTACAGTCTGAGGATGATGGTGATGTGTGTGTGTAATATTGAGATTATGAATGTGATTATGAGTATAACTACAGTATGAGGATGATGGTGATGTGTGTGTGTAATATTGAGATTATGAATGTGATGATGAGTATAACTACAGTCTGAGGATGATGGTGATGTGTGTGTGTAATATTGAGATTATGAATGTGATGATGAGTATAACTACAGTCTGAGGATGATGCTGATGTGTGTGTAATATTGAGATTATGAATGTGATGATGAGTATAACTACAGTCTGAGGATGATGTGTGTGTGTAATATTGAGATTATGAATGTGATGATGAGTATAACTACAGTATGAGGATGATGATGATGTGTGTGTAATATTGAGATTATGAATGTGATGGTGAGTATAACCACAGTATAAGGATGATGATGTGTGTGTAATATTGAGATCATGAATGTGATGATGAGTATAGCCACAATATGAGGATGATGGTGTGTGTGTAATATTGAGATTATGAATGTGATGATGAGTATAACCACAGGATGAGGATGATGGTGTGTGTGTGTGTAATATTGAGATTATGAATGTGATGATGAGTATATCCACAGTCTGAGGATGGTGATGTGTGTAATATTGAGATTATGAATGTGATGGTGAGTATAGCCACAATATGAGGATTATGGTGTGTGTGTAATATTGAGATTATGAATGTGATGGTGAGTATAACCACAGTATGAGGATGATGGTGTGTGTGTGTAATATTGAGATTATGAATGTGATGATGAGTATAACTACAGTCTGAGGATGATGGTGATGTGTGTGTAATATTGAGATTATGAATGTGATGATGAGTATAACTACAGTCTGAGGATGATGATGATGTGTGTGTGTAATATTGAGATTATGAATGTGATGAGTATAACTACAGTCTGAGGATGATGATGATGTGTGTGTAATATTGAGATTATGAATGCGATGATGAGTATAAGCACAGTATAAGGAAGGATGATGCGTGCCGCAGGAACACGATCGGAATGAAAATAAGTATGAGCATGATGGAGCATAATTATTGGTACAATGTTGAGAATATGATGATGCTGATGTTAAGGTTGACAGAATGATGGACTATCATTGATGAATGATAAAGACTTGTGTATAACAACGAGTATATGATTACGTTGAAGAGATGATGATGATGATGACGGCATGAAGAGTATGATGCTAATGCTGAAGGATTAGAGTACAGTTGAGGAATGATGAAGATATCAGGATATGATGAGAATATAATGAGTAGAGATTAGCACAATCTGATGAGCATGATGATAAAAGTGCAATGATGTCTATGGTGAGTATGATGATGATGTTGAGGATGAGAGTATGGTCACAGTATAATCTAGGAATGATGAAGATGTGTGCATGACGATGAGAACACGATTGTGATGAAGAGATGATGATGATAATCCAATGATGAAGAGTATGATGATGATTATTGTAATTACGAATGTATAATGCTGAGCATATGTTGTTGATGAGTATGATGCTGATGATGTTGTTGTTGAGAGGATGACGATGTTATGATGATGAGGAGGAGGTCGGTACCTGAATGAGGAGTGTTCAATAGTGCCCGGCTCTCAGGCAACACAGATGGATTTGGGTCTTTTAAAGAGAGAGAGAAAAAAACACACGGAATCGATTCCTTTTTCAAGATTCGATTTTAAAACAATCGATTCGATTCCATTCTAATCATATCGGACTCGGGGATGATGAGTTCAATGTCTCCGTCGTGAGGACGTAGCTTTGAGACTCTACGACGAATATCGATTATGTCTTTGTTTTAACAATGTGACGAGCCCTTATCTTAGCCGGGCGTTCAATAAACTTCACGTCGGGTATGCTCATGAAGTCGGTTCGTTGACGAACAGTTGCGTCTACTCGACTTAAGAGGGGAGGGGGGGGGCAAACAACGCACAGGGAAGAGTTTAAAAAAATTAACTTCGAGGGTTAATTAACATCGATTTTGACATCAAACTCAGCGTGCACGCTCAAATGAATGATCGATTCCGACAATGTTGGGAATCGACTCCTTTGGAATCGAATTCACGTTCGCACTTTCAGGGGGGTGGGGGCCGTGGGGGGCTTAGAGTGGGGGGGGGGGGGGCTGGTGACGTCATCGTGACGCCACCGCCCGTGGTTGCGCGCGTTGCCGTGGCGACGGCCGGTTGCTGCGAGGAGAACCTTGGGTGGCGTTGCCATGGCAACGCGAAGGCCTCCTCCCCCCCCCGACCCCCCCCTCGCCTTACCCACCCGCCTAATCCACACAACCTCAACGCTCGATTGTTGTTATTGTTGTTGAATTTTTCTTGACTTAAAGCTTTCGTGAGAAGAAGAAGAAGAAGAAAAATAACAAGAAAAAATAAAAAAATCACGAGGTTTCGATCGCGACACAAGCAATCTTCATCAGGTGGAATAATGACAGCAAGAAGATGCTGAAGTAGGCGAGAGAGCTGCCGTGGCAAGTGGTGGTTATATAGGTAAGAAAGGGGGGCAGGCAAAAAGGGGGGGTAGGGGGCTGCGTGAGCGCTAGGGGGAGAGAGGACGTGAGACTGGGGGGCTAGAAGTGGGAAGCTGAGTGTGGGACACGGGGAGAAATTTTTAAATGTTCTAGTAATCCGGCAGGTAGGATGGAAACAACTACAACCATATTCTTGGTTCTTTCGGTAAAGTCCCGTAGAAGGGAAACAATAAAATAATTAAAAGAAAACAATAACATTCTCACGACGTTTCGATTGCAACACAAGCAATCATCATCAGGTGTGAAAACCACAGCAAGAAAATTAGAAAAAAAGTGGCGTTTTTTTCTTAACGTCAGCACCACGGACAGCAACTGGCGGCCTCTGTTAATTCAGTGGGCTCACATGACGTTGACTTCTCCAAGACAGAGGTTCTCTGCAAGCCATCTGGCTACCATGAGAGATTCGTTCATGAGGCTATCCACATATACAAACACAGAGACAATTTCAACCGAGAAGATGGATTCTAGGCTTAGCAATCATTGGAAGGATTTGATACACCATTTCGGGTCTTAATTGTTTGTGTTCACGCTTACGGTGACTTTCAGACCGCATTCCATTCTCTTTCTCTCCCCCCCCTCCTCCGTTCCGAACATAGATGAACTCGTCCGTCTGAACAACCGCCAGTTGCTGTCCGTGGTGCTGACGTTAAGAAATAACCACCACTTTTTAAATCCTTTACATTAAGTTCGCTTGCGCGCTTGCTTGCTTGCTTACGACCGTGCAAACCTTTTGGTCGTTTTTTAACCCACTTCCCGTGATCCAATCGAGCTGACATTTTGCACACAGACTCGTTGTGCGAGACAATACATTTTCGTGAAAAATGTTTTCCAAAATTTTACACTGTTTAGGGAAAAAAATTAAATATTTAATTACCAATTGCTTAATGCTGGCAGACAATCATCTGACCCATAGGTGGCAGCCATCTCAAGCCAGAGGACGAGAGGACTCTAGCCGCCACGCATATAAAGGATTTATAGTGAAAAACTTTGTTTTTACGGATTATTTTTTTCTAAATTTCTTGCTGTGATTTTCACACCTGATAATGATTGCTTGTGTTGCAATCGAAACTTCGTGAGAATTTAGTCAAATTTATTTTATTTTATTATTTCCCTTCTACGTGACTTTACCGAAAGAACCAATAATAATAGGATGGGGATGGTTTAGTTGTATTTGTGTGTTTGGGTGATTTGTTTACCTTTCTTGTACTTTGCACGACTATCGTGCTGTTATTGTTTTAAAGTTCTTACCCCGCGTGCCCCTACTGAACATCTGTGCAAAAAGAGCTTCATAGCTCATCGGATTCCGCCAGAATAAATATTCTAATTTTGGTTAATCGAGGCTCGCAATATTACCCTTCCATTAATACAGCGCCAAATTAAAACGTGGACATGTCAACACAAATATCCAGGTCGCCTTTGCTAGCCACTGCATCTCAACGGACTTCCCGTCTGCGTAAATAAAATAATCTGCGTTGAATATAGCCAGCTCCTGGCAATTGTCTCCGTTAGGGGCCGTCCATAAATGACGTCACGCGATTTTTGACCCCCCCCCCCCCTTCGTCATACGGCGTCACAAAAAGTCAGACCCCCCCTCAAATATGACGTCACAAAGCTCTGCCCCCCCCTCCCCCCAAAAAATAAAACATGCTTCAAATCGCTTTAAACTATTGTCATTGTAGTGCGTATTTAATTTGGCGCTGCACTTTGATGTTGTAGGAGAAAATATGTATTAAAAAGTCTATTTAATTAAGTAGAACGTGCTGTCTATATTTATTTAAAGTTGCCCATTTTGATGTGACGTCACATTTCTCAACCCCCCCCCCCCTCGTCACACAGTCAGAAATATCTGACCCCCCCCTAGGTGCGTGACGTCATTTATGGACGGCCCCTTAAGCACGAGTTGGTCGTGTGTGACAACCTCCCTTGCCTGAATCAACCCGTTAATAAACACCGTGTAACATCACGTAAAACTGTTGGAAGTTAATATCCATGACCGGTGTGTGTGCGCAAGAGGATGTGGAGCTGAGTGAACTTGCCGATGACCGGTACCAGCGGTGTCAAGATCGGCCTCTGTGGAGGAGGCATCGTGAAGGACGCCGCTGGGCAGGTGGAGGCAGTCGTCTTCCAGCAACAACGGAGGGCGGAGGAGCGACGCTCACAACGAGCGGAGCGCCGGGCGGCTAAAATCCAGCAAGTTGACACAGTGGGGTGCATCTACCAGTCATCTCAGTCAGCCAACCCATGGCACCTGCTGGGTCTGTCCCGAGACCTCCTCCTGTTAGCGAGCCTTCGACACTTCACATGGCCCCAAAGTGCACCTGGCCTGGCACAGGCGCCGTGGTGACGTCTCCATCACTTCGTGGCGAATATTGGTTTTGTTTATGGGCAGGCGTCCTCCAGCAACAACGGAGGGCGGAGGAGCGACGCTCACAACAACGAGCGGAGCGCCGGGCGGATAAAACATAGTAAGGTGGCACAGGTGGTGCATCGGCCAGTCATCTCAGTCAGTCGACCCACGGCACCTACTGGGTCTATCCCGTGACCTTCCGCCAGCGGGCGTTCCGACACTTTCACGTGGCCTTAACGTGCACCTAGCCTGGCACAAGTGCCGTGGTGACGTCACCGCGGTTGTTGTTGTGGGTGCAAACATATGGCAGACAGCAACCTGGCAAAGATGAGGATTCGAACCAATTTTTGGTCAAGAAACGTGTCCGTTTATTAAAGCGACCAAAGACATTTCGTGAACGCTGGATGATCGTTTAAAAATAAAATCAACCTCAATTATAATCAGTCCTGCACTGCGATAGCGTTAAGAGGAAAAAAAAAGTAAAATCCAAGACTTCGTTTTTCGTACAAGCAGAACAATTATTACACGAATCTACAGCGTGTGACTGCTTCGAAATAATTTGACGTTGTTTCAGACATTTTCCTCAAGCCTCATGAGCCCGCACGTGACGAGAGCAGAGAAGCAGCTCGTGTCGAGCAGACGGAACGAGGGCCACTCCATCCAGCCGGTTCAATCATTCATCACATACAGCCAGCCCTATGCCAATCATTTGCTGGATGAAGGCCTCCCCATACCGTGCCAGCCTTGGGGTTCGATTGACCATACTTCACCACTCTGGTCAGTGCGGATTAGCAACACGGAGGGCCCAGGACCAGTTCAGATACTAATTTCCAGCTCTGTTAGCGGTGGCTAGGAATTGTACTACGGTCAGCAAGTCCCATAATATTGCCTGCAACTGAAGTCATTGGCATTGTTTTGGGTTTAGAGTTATAAAAGTGAGAAAGTCTTCACTTGACAGTGAGATTCACTATCGATTCAAACATATGGATTCGTTGTTTTTTTCTCTGCTCGTGGTGGATGTAGCGGCCACCAGCAGGTAGCAGAGGTCACGTTTAACATACCACAGACGAATGCGAAGGGAAAACGATTCTCACGCGCAATTAATTGCTAGGAACCGATTTAAATCGACGAATCAAGGTATCATTACACCGCCAATGACTACGAATCGGAGTGACAAGCGACAGAAGAAAATTTCGCGCTCAAAGTATAAACCCACAGATGCTTTGCGAGACAAAATCCATCACGAATTATTGCAAAAACGACAGTTATCAAAATACACACAATTCTTCCCGAACGATATTGCAATATATATATATAAATTGCTTCTGCAAAAATAGTGAGAGTATTGAGGAAGGCAGCTGGTGCATAAAGTCAATGGTTTTGTCCTGTTCTTTGTTAACTGTGAGCGGCGCAACACGGACGCGTGCTTTGTGTTTAAGCAGGCAAGACGTGTCGGCTCGTGTGGAACGATTCAACGTAGAATAGATTGCGGGCACAGAGCCAATGGAGTTGATCCCCAATTAGCCACCTTTAACGTTTCCAGGCGCTGAGATTTTCACCCACCGTGCATCATCGCACGCTGATGAAGTTCCAGCTCACGGGGGGGGGGGGGGGGAAGCTTCCGAATGCATTGCACCACATCTTTGTTGAAACGGGTCTATTTTTAACAGGACCCTTTTCTCCCTATCTACAAGTAACGATTGTTACAAAAATAATCTAAATTTGAAAAAATACTCTGAATTCAAGACGTCCCCCCCCCTCTCCCGCAACAAATTGTGGAGAGGAAAAATGTCACCACGAGGTAAACGTCTTAATG